TCGTTTCCATATGCTAGTTAATTCATTTCCCATCTATGATAAATATACAACATTCCTTTCAAATCTAAGTACTGTCAGTTACTACCCTTCGCTTGATTCTCTCATTTTCTAAAATCCATCATTAAACACTACTAAGATTGCTACCATGCACTAACAAACCTCAAATCTCAAATTTTAAACCAAAGATAGCAATAAAGGCATCAATTCCTTTATTGTCTTGCAAGAAATTGGTTTATAATTTTATTCCTTAACTTGTTTCAAATAAAAGCCATGGAGATTCCATATAGCTTCTACCATTACAATAAAAACTCAATTTCTTTTACCCAAAATTTATAGCAATCATATAACTCTTGTCATTCAATAACATTAATTCAAATTATGAAATTGATTGGCAATTAAATCCAAATTTAATCCCACCTAATCACATGAATAGGGCTCTATGAACCATAACTTCTACACATCTATGATTCAAGCTTCAAATCCACCAAATTATCTGAAGGAAATCATATTTTGGTTTTAAATTGTAGGTTACAACTTCAAGACTTCTCACATAGCAAGATTAAATTAAGAATCTCTAACATTTCGACATGAACAGTAAATTAAAACCTACCTAGCTTATTAACAAATAAAATACCCCCAATTCCTTTATGTCCTTAATAGGACGTAAATATAGTATTCATTCTCTTCCAATAAAATAAGTGTTTTACAAAAATGCACTTAATAGTAAGAATTCCTTATCTTAACCACTTTACATCAAGAAATTATGTTTAATTACATTTTTGCCATCTCAAGCTATTACCCATGATTCTTTATCAATCTCATCCTTAGTTATTATCAACAATACTCGTCACTTGCAAATAATACATCTATAGGCTCAATATATAGGTTCATTTGGCATAACTCATAAAATTTAACTAACTAGATGCTATCAAGCTAAAGAAGTTAGAATTTTCTGATTTAACTAACTAGATGCTATCAAAGTAATAATGTTAGCAAATAGTTAGATTAGTTGCTGCCATTTCAAAATCATTCTCAATTCTCATCAAACTTGATCATTAGAACATCTATATTCACAACAAATTATGAAAAAAAAGCATATTCGCACCATTAATATAAGCTCAGTTCAAGCCAAACCCATGATTTTCTCTAGCCAGATGTTGCTACTATATCAAAGAAATCTTAAGTTCTTGATTAAAGTCTGAGAATCGGTATTATTTTGGTCCGAAAAAATTACTATTTATATTTTATATTTTATTTAATATTTTTGGAGCATATATGCATGATTTTTATGGGTAGAAAGTAAGTAATGAATTTATTTGGAGAATTTAGATAATTAGTAAATAGTGAATTATGTTGTTATATTAATTAAAGAAATTTGAGAAATTATTTTTATGGAGTAAATCTAAGAATTTTGTGGAGATAAATAATATTTTGAAGGAATGTAATTGGAGAATATTTTTAGCCATTAGATTAGATTACCATTGACTTGATTTTAGCCACCCAATTATGATAAAAGACTAAAAAGCCCTTTAGCTGCTTTATATAAGTCAACACACAAATAATTAAGCAACACTTTCTTCTTCTTCTTCTTCCCCACTTAGACGTCAACTTCCTTTTCTTCAATTCCTACTTGCTAAATCCACCAAATTCACTCCATTAAACTTGATTTAAGTAATTAATCTTAGAGAATTAAGCTTGAGAAGTGATTTGCAGTGATTATTTTAAAGAAATTTGGAGATTTCCTTCTTGAGCCAACTAAGTGTTTTGATGATAACTTCATTTTTGGGTTTAGATTCTTAGCATATACATGCTTACTCATGCTCCAATTTCTTCTTTTATGTGTTTTCTTTGTTTTGATTTTGATTTTCTTTTATGTAGAAGGTGGAGAACCTTCTACCAAAGAGAAGGGCAAAGCTAAGGCTTAAAGGGTTTTAATTTAAGCTTGTTTTAAGGTTAGTATTCATAAATACACTTACCTTGTTTCAATTTTTGATTTTGTGATTTTATGCTATTATGTGATAATTTGGGAATTTTGTATGAATTGATTAAATTGTTAAATTTTGGTTGTATAATTGTGCTTTTGGGTGTATTTGAACATTGTTAGAATGATTAATTCGTTGAGAGAAACTCCTCCCCCTATTCTCTCATGTTGGCCGAACCATATGTGAGGTAAAGGTGAGAGTTTTTCTCTTCAATTAATGTTTGATTTAAGCTCTAAATCTATTGTTATGAATATATTTAATGGATACTAAAGTTAAATTGTACATATGTTAAGTTTAATAATTTTTCTTACGAGTAATTATTGGACATTTTGGGGGAAAAAGTGGAATTAATTTAATTGATGCATGATGAGGGTTTAAATGGATATTTGGGTGCTTAAGAATTATGTTAGCATGCTTGATTGAAGGAGGAAACTACCTTCCCTTAATTTGCATGAAGAGTCTGAACCACCTAGGGTGGTAAGGCTTACGTAATTGCCTTATTAAGTGATGTATGGACTTTCTATTTCATGCTATATATATATATATATTTCATAGGTATGATACATTTGATAATTTTTCATTTGTTTTAGGTTTATGAGAAATGGGTGTTTTAAGCATATGTGCCTTGAATTTAATAAGAAAAATATGATTTGATTGATAAAGTTTTATTCATGATGAATCTTGATGAAATCTTATTATGACTGGGAAAGGAAAAGTAAAAAAAAAAAAAAAAGGACAAATGATTTTAATTAGAAATTTTTCCTATGATACGAAATTGACCTAAGTATGAAATTTTTATGACTTACTTAAGTTTAAATTAAGTTCCATTTATGATTTTTAGAAGACTAAGGAAAAAGATTTATGAGAAAATGTTATTGAATTAAAAAATTTAAAAACAAGGATTTTGGGCTCTTAAATATACTTGGTGTGTAAAATTTGTTGCATAATGGTATTTATTTTAGAAAGTGGCCATTGTCGGCATTTGATGCCATTATGTAGAAAGCTATGATTGATATTGCTAGGCACAAGACTAAAGAAAATGAATTTTATGAGAAATGTTATGAATTAAGAAATAAAACAAGGATTTTGGGCTCTAATATACTTGGTGTAAATTTGTTGCATAATTTGATTTATTTTGTAAGATGAGCATGCTCGGCATTTGATGCCATTATGATAAGAAGCTATGATGATATGCTAGGCACGTGGGTGTCTTATGTTAGGGGGAACGCACTCTATATGTTATGATAGGCTCTTGCAGCACTTATGAATAAGCTATGAAATCTTATCTACTTCTTTTTCTCCTAAGTGTATGCGAGCCCCTTGGAAAATATGTTTAAGAAAATTAAATTAATGAGATTACATTATTTTAGTAAATCTTAGTTTAGAATAAATTATTTATGTTATCAAATGAATTTCCAAAGCATGATGTTTTGGTGCATAATTTTAAAATAGTAGCATGTTTATTGGTGAATAAATGTTTAAGTAAAGGACTTATGGTGTAAAAGAACTAAATTATTTATGTTATCTATTATAAGTTTATTTGATATTTTTTATGATATAAATGTTAATGTATGTTAAAAATTTAATGATTTTATAATTTGTAAATCTTTTTATGAAAATTTATAATTTGAGTATGCTGTCATCACAAAGCACTACTGAATTTTATACTCAGCGCATTGATTTTATAACGGGCAGGTTTGAGACTGTATTTTACTGCTTAAAGACCAGAAGAGTGGCATCAGAGCAGAAGAGACTAATTTGATAGTAGGTTTATTTAGCACATTGTTTATTACAAGTCTTTCACAACGATGTAAAGATTATTAAGAATCATTTTAGGAGAGATTGTGGTTAAAAAGAGAGAGAAAAAGCGGAGTAAATTTAAAAATGTATTTCAAATCATTAATGCACTAAACTCTTGAAGACCATTGGTTATTATTATTATTATTTTTTTTTGTTAGAATGCAAACTATTCATATATTATTAATATCAGAAGAAATAACATCCAAGATAAAGGATCGAGGAGCAAAACTCCATTCCATCATGTCAGGCAAAGTCACAGCTGCTCTAGCCAAAGCATGAGTTACCTAATTAGCTGACCGAACTACAAAAGACATCCTACAATATTGCAGCTCATAAAGAAGAGCTTTGCAATCACAAACAATAGAACCAAAATAGGATAGGTCCACCTCTTTTGTTGCCAAAGCTTGAACAAGCACCAAACAATCAACTTCAATTTGAACTAGCCCGAATCACTGAATTTCTATCTGACTAAGGGCCTCACAAAGACCCGTGGTTTTAGCTCCTTTCGAGTCCAATGCAACAACAAGCTTTTGCATTTTTCCACCACATGATTGACCTTTGCTGTCTCTAATAATACATCCCACTCCTGCTATCCCCTCAGCATCGAAAAAAGAGGCATCAACGTTACATTTAATATTTCCAGTCTTTTGGTTTCTAGCGTCGACGATTATAAGAAGGTATAGTTAAAGGAGAGATATGTCTGGGACCTCTGAGCATCCTGCCACTCATGAACAATCAACGAAGCATGATGCACTGGACGAGTAATAGAAGAAGCTTTATTCTTCCAAACTATCTGATTACGATTAAACCATAACTCTCATGCAATAGCCAGAGCTTGCTCCTGCACTTCAACTGAGTATCGTAACATGATGACGCGCCACCAATCTATAAGAGACCTATGGGAACTATTATAACCCACTACATATGCAGAACAACATTGTTGTGCAAAAGGGCAGTGTAACAAGATATGGGAAATCGTCTCCTCTGCACTTCTGCATACAAGACACTAAGGATCAAGGAGAACCCATTTTTTGATAAGAGAAGAAGCAACAGGAACCACATCAAGCACGGCACGCAAAAAAAAAAAATGTTTATCTTCCCCGCTACCTTTTGCTTCCAAAAGGACCACCAAAAGGGTTCGTCAAGAACACTCTCATGATTATGAGATGCATAAAGCAAGTTATAATCGCTTTTAATAGTATAGTTACCCTTCTTGTCCTAAAAACACATCCAGGAATTAGCCATCTCCATTCTGGGTAATGGAATTTTCAGAATAAGAGCTCTTTCTTCATTAGACAAGAGTAAAGACAATGTCTCCAAGTCCCATCTTCGAGAGTCAGGCCGAAATAAATCACAGACTTTCAGATCATCAATACCTGTGTTATTAACAGAAAGAACTGAGGGACAGTCATGCTTGGATGCATGGCATTTTCCAGACCATAGTGCTCTTACCATCACCAATCCGACGGATACAGCCCTTCTTTAGCAGCTCTTGAGATGCAAAAATGCTCTGCCATACATGACTTGGGTTTTGACCCAATGAGGCTTTAAGGAAAGAAGTTTCTAGGAAGTACTTGGCCTTAAAAATCTGTGAAGCTAAAGAATCCTCACAAGTCAAAAATCGGCAGCCTTGTTTTGCCAACAGGGCTTTATTAAAATTTGAGAGAGATCGAAATCCGATCCCACCATGATCCTTCTTGCGACAGAGATAATGCCAAGCCATCCAATTAATACCAGACTCGTTACTACCGCTATTCCTCCACCAACACTAGTTCATCATCTTCTCGATAGCAATAACAGTAGAGGAAGGTAGAAGAAAAATGCTCATCACATAACTGGGCACTGCTTATATCACTGTTTTTAGGAGCACCTCCTTACTCGCACAAGATAAAAGCTTTTGTTTCCAGCTATTAAGGCGCCTCCATAACTTATCTAAGATAAAATCGAAGACTTCTTTTTTCTTTCTTCCAATGATCGACGGTAAGCCAAGATACTTACCATGGTTAGCGACCTGAGTCACCTGCAATAAATTCCTAATTGCTGCTTTTAGGAAATCCTTGGTGTTACGGCTGAAAAAGATGGTTGATTTTGACAAATTTATTTTCTGCCCTGATGCATTTTCATAAAGCTGCAAACACTTTTGCACGACTCTAGCTTCCTCCAATGTTGCTTGGAAAAATAGAAACTGTCGCCAACAAAAATGAATTAGAGATAGAAGGGCCTTGTGTAGATACCTTACAACCATGTAAATCGCCTCTACGCTCATAGTATCCTAGAAGTAAAGATAGAGCTTCAGCACATATGATGAACACATGTGGTGAAAGTGGATCACCTTGTCTTAGGCCGCGATGAGGAAAGATGGGGCCAAACAAGTGACCATCATTAAGAAAATTATACTCGCTGAACTTACACAGGACATAACTAGAGATACCCAATGTGAGCCAAAACCCAACTTCACCATAACCTGTCTCAAAAAGTCCCATTCAACTCTGTCGTAAGCCTTGCTCATGTCAGTTTTCAGTGCTACATAGCTTTCTTCCTCGTTTTATTTTTAATGCAGTGCACAATTTCGAAAGCCACCATAGTATTATCCGTTATCAAACGTCCAGAATAAAAGCACTTTGAACACTAGAGATAATACTAGATAAACAGAACTGCATTCGAATTGCAATAGCTTTGATAGTTATTTTATCCACCACGTTACAAAAGGGATATTGGCCACAAATTAGAAACATAGTGCGAGTCTTTACATTTCGGGATAAGAATCACAGTGGTACAATTACTACCCGTTAAGTTTGCTCCCATGTTCAAATAATCCAAACAAGCTGTCGAAATGTCATCTCCAATAATCGGCCAAAACGCGTGAGAAAATCAGGGATTGAACCCATCAGGACCAGGGGACTTGTCTGGGTGCATGTCGAATGAAGCGGATTAATGTCTTCTTTAGTAAAAGGTTGTTCAAGAATATGATTTTGCTCCTCAGTCACCTTAGAATCAATGTAACGTAAAATTTCCTCAATCTGCAAACATAAATTTAAAAAATAATTAAAGATCAATTGCTCCAAACCCGTATCCCAACTATGCCACTGCCCATCTTTCGCTTTCAGATTTTAGAAACAAATCTTTTTCTTTCTAACCGAGGCTATAAAATGAAAATATTTGGTGTTAAGGTCTCCTTCTCACAGCCAATATTGCTTGGCTCGCTGCTTCCTGTAGGTCTCCTGTTGCCTTAACAGTTCACCATAAGCTTATTGAGCAATTCGAAATAGTTCAATCTATAGAGGATCAAATTTACCCCTATACTGTTCCATCTAACGCTTAAATTGAGCCCTTTTCTCTGCACCCGAATTTTGAAGATACGAACCACAACGAGCAAGTCGCTCCTGCAATGGTAAAGCAGCCCCTAAACTCCAACCCTCCATAACAACATCATGACAATCTATCTCTCCCAACTATTGATTCTCAAAAAGGAAGCTTTTTCGAATAAAGTGAACGATAGTAACCCCCACTAAAAGAAAGATCGGACAATGGTCACTGCTCCCAGCCCCTAGATGGTACAAGCAACCATTAGGAAATAATCAAAAAATGCAGTGTGTTTGGATGTTACATGTCAAATTAAGTTGAGCCTTTAATGTTGGAATAGGTATGTTTCTGACTTGATTGGAAACAACGAAGGAAGAGGATTACCATTCCCAAATATATCAGGAATGGCTTACTTAGTATGGCTGTAAGTGTTCGATATGTATTTTACTTAAAATAAAACACCAAGTCAGCAAAAAATCTCTCTCTCTCTCTCTCTCTCTCTCTCAACATTGTCCAGCCATTTTCAAGTTTATTGGAAGAGTTACAATTTGCAGCTTTCTTGATTTTTGAATGGTGACTGAAGCTTTCTTGGAATCAAACAACACTGCTCCTGAAGTGCATGCCAAATGTTCGACGAAATGCATAAATGGAAAGACATGTAACAGCGAGAAGAGGTAATGGAGGTTCTGTTTTGTGGGCTAAAATTTTCTAGCACGATCTTCTAAACTCTTACAATATTAAAACAATAAAGACAAGGAAGCCATGACTTTGCTTGGTTGGTACATGATGTCGGCAGTAACATGATCCTGATCCCAAGTTCAGTGATGATGGGATTGGCTATAGCGTTTTTGCAGTTTGGTTATGGAGGCCACTGTGATGCTTTTCTTCTTCATTCACAGGTTTGTCTTTTCTGGACCTTTTCATAAGCAATTATGAACATGAATGTGTTGCCAGCTGCCTTTTGCTTCTGATCATCTGCAGTTTTGGTTTTGAAGTTGTTTCGTCTCTCTTTCTGGAGAGTTGTCGTCTCTCTTTGTGGAGAGTTATTTTATAAATTTGTTTGCTAAAAAAAAAAAAAAAAAAAAAAAGCGTGCTTTGGCTTGCTGTCATTCGGCAGTTTTGGTTTTGGGAAGTTGTTTCGTTCTTCTTCTTTCTGGAGGAAAGAATAAATAAAAAAAGAAAAATACGAAAAAAATCTACAATAAAAACATATAAATGTGAGAAAGAAAGAAAGAATAAAATAAAAATATTATAAAAAAAAAAAAAAAAAAAAAAAAAAAAAAAAAAAAAAATATTAAGTAAAAATATAAGCAAAATATAAAAAAAAAAAAAAAAAAAAAAAAAAAAAAAAAAAAAAAAAAAAAAAAAAAAAAAAAAAGGCCGGAATTTGAAATGGGAAAAAAGACATAAAAAATAAATAGAAAAGAAACAAAGGAAAATATATAATAAGATAATAAAAAGAAAAAAGTCAACAGAAAAACAAACCAAGACACAAAATATAAAGAAAAAAAATAAAGAAGATACAACAAAAATAAAAAAAAAAAAAAAAAAAAGTAAAATAAAGAACAAATAAAGAAATAAAAGTAAGAAAAGAAAAAACAATGAAAAAAAAAGAGAAACAAAAAAAAAAAAACACAACCAAAAAAAAAAAAAACAAACGAGGCGTACAGTAAAAAAAAAATATAAAAATAAAAAAAAAATAAATCAAAATAAATAAAATGACAAAAAAAAAAAAAGAAAACATTATTATTATATTACATATTGAAGACAACCTTGAGCTTCTTTAAAGTTTGCAAGACGAACTAAATTCATTATTAAAAGATTATGACGGCGTGTGCTAATGTTGATTCGCTGCTTGCCATCTAGTGGTGGTTTGGCATTTACTCTGACGGGGTTTTCGTCAATACACTCCTTCAATTAGTTCCAGTTCTAGATATTATAGATGTTGAAGTGGAATTGCCCGGTTTGTGGTTTGGCGGGCTCACGGGTTTTCTATGGTGATCCAAAAGAACCAGAAGAAATAATTTCTTGGGCAAGTACTTTCGTTGTTTTTGGTTCTCACAGCGAACTTGCCTTGGTTGTGTTTATGGCGCCCTTTAATGATTATTTCTTGCTTCGTATGAAAGATGAGAGGTAGGGCCTCAACCTAATTATCGTATTCGGATTTTTCCAAGCACTATCTCAGATGCACATTGATGATTTTCCTACTGTCTGGTTATGCTTTCACTTGGGAATCAGGGTCGCTCTGCGGCAATTTATAGGAGGAAAAAAACTTTGGATCGTATTCTGGCCACTGACTCTTCGGCGGAACGAAATTTCTCTTTTCAAAGCTCGGAGCTATGGTTCTGATAAAGTCCTCATCGAGCCATCTTCCGATTTACCTTGAATAACGCCATCCATTTTGTGCCTAGGGCTCAGGGCTAGACCGTTCCATTTCGAAGAATAGCTGGAGGAGGGAGGCTGGAGGCTGCTTGTAAGGATCTGATTAAGGGTTGTTGGCTAGAGACAGCGGGTATGGGCTTAGCTGAAAGGATTTCTCGTTGCAAAGCACTTCTTGAGGTTTGGGGGGAAGAATTTCGCCATTATCAAAAAGGGGAATTTGCTACTTGCTTGGCTATCATGGCTGCTACAAGAGGTTCTCGTATCGCAGGGGATAATGTCCGATTTCTGAAGGCAAAAAATAGGTATCAGGAATTATTGTTACAGAAGGAAATTTTTTGGAAACAACGTGCTAAAGAGTTCTGGTTGCGGGAAGGTGATGCTAATACCCGTTTCTTTCTCGAAGAGGCTTCAAGGCCGTCTAGCAACCAGAATCGGATTTCTTCTTGGAGAGACGAAATTGGTAACTGGGTCACTTGATTGCCGGGTTGAGAGATTCTCCATGGTTCGTTATTTTACAAATATGTTTGCTCCCAAAAAAATTCACCTCTACGTGGGTGTTCGATTTTACTCAGCCTGTATCGACTTGAGGAGCAAAAAATTTGGAGGTTCTTGTTAGCTCCTTACCTCAATTGAAAGATGTCGGGTGCCGCAGCAGTGTTTGATATGAAGGCCGACAAAGCCCCGGGACTTGACGGGTTCAATCCTGGTTTCTACCAAGGCTACTGGGACATTATAGGTAATGATATTGCTCAATACTGTCTTGAGATAATTCACAGTAGGTCTATCCCTGATTATCTGAATGTGACTGGTTTGGTTTTGATTCCTAAGAAATCATCCCCTGAATCTATGACTGATTTGAGACCGATTGCCCTTTGCAATGTTCTGTTAAAAGTCATTACTAAGATGCTCGCAAATCGTCTTCGCACTATTCTTCCGCGTCTGATTTCGGAAAGCCAGAGTGCCTTTGTGAGTGCCCTTGTTGCGGGTAGGAATATCAGGATAATTGTATTGTTGCTTTTTTTGAAGCTTTACATGCATTTCATAGGACGACTAGGGGTTCTAATTTTTCTGCAGCTGTCAAAATGGACATCAGTAAAGCATATGACAGAATGGAGTGGTCCTTTCATCGTCAAATGTTAACTAAGTTGGGTTTTCATGCTCTATGGATTAATCTTATAATGTCTACTCTAACTTCGGTTAAGTACTGGATTTTGCGGAATAACAGAGAGCTTGGACCCATTATCCCCACTCGGGGTTTGCGACAGGGTGACCCTCTATCCCCGTATTTATTCATCATCTGTGCTGAAGGCTTATCAAATATAATTCAGATGTCTATTCAGAATGACAATTTGAGTGGTTTTCGAGTTTGTCGGAGAGGACCGTTAATTTCTCATCTATTTTTTGCTGATGACAGTTTGGTGTTTTTGAAGGCTTCGGTTCAAGAATCACAATCTCTCAAACATATTTTGGCTATGTATATCCCAATCTCCTCAAAACATATTTGGGCTAATGTTATTGAGGCAGAAATCGGGGCAAAAACAGATCAATTTAAATAAGTCCATTCCATACTTTCAGCGCTAATTACCCCTCGGGCACTCCAGAAATCAAATAATGTTCTCCTTCTTCAGGTTACGACAAAGGATCTTTAGGGGCACTACTTGGGTTACGTCTTTCAACATGGGTCGGGAAATCGGAAGGAGGCTTTTAATTACATAAGGGGACCGAATGTGGAAGCGTTTAAAAAAACTCTTGGGAGCTAAAGTCTCTCTCCCCGTTGCGGGTGCGGGAAGAGAAATTT